GACACCATCTCTACACCGCTCGTATTTGTTTTATGCATATAATCATAAAATTGGGGATTGATTTCGCAAATTTAAAATGAAAAAATAAACGTTAAATAAAATTTTATAAAGAGTTCGAGTTATGTTATCATCTTCCTCAATTTTGTGTCCAAATTGAAACGTTTATTGGAGAAAGGAGATATTATGGTTTGGATCTAGGGGTTTTTATTTATTTATTTATTAAATAACCGCCAACTTCGAGATTAAATTTGCAAAGACAATCATGATTGGAAAATAGTTTCGTTTAGTAAATTAACAAAGTTATTTATGTTTGATTTGGTTTGGTTGTAGCTAGGTTCAGTCAAATTTCGGTTAAAAACTCATAAAACAAAAACTTGCGTGTTCATGACCTATAATTTTACTTTCATATGCAATTAACGTATTTAAGTTCGTGTAATAGAAATTATTCGGGTAATTTTATATTGTGAAAAACAAAGCTTATAGCTATCATATTCACAAAATAAATTAACTAACTAAAAAAAATAATTTTGACCAAAATAACCCTCACAACTTAAAACAATTAGAGAGAGTGGGGTTCATAGAATTAGGGCCCAATTGTAGTACGAAGACTCTCCCACGACTACTCCTTAGCAACCAAAGACGAATCTTCCCGTTGCCGCTCCGGTGGTTTGTGTTGGATTCGATGCGGCGCGAGTTTAAGGCTAAGGCGGTGAGTATGTAGGTTATCTTCGTCCTCGTTACTTCAGATCTGTGAAGACATGGGCCGGTGAAGCACAAAGTCTGATCGGAGGTGAGATCATGCCGTGGCAGAGCACTTCGGCTCGTTAACATTTTTCCGGTCGATTATGAGAGAAAACTTATTTACCTTTTTACAGCCCACAAACAATAAATTTATTAATGGCGTTTTTGGTAATATTGTACTTTACATGCGATATATACGTAGCCAATATTTATTATAGTTATTCAGCTAATGATAAAATTTTGGTTGGTTATTGGACCTAATTACCCTTTAAATAAATTGTTCGTGTTAGATCATGTCTATTGGTAAAGTTCTTTAAATGTGGTTCTAAACTAAGAAATATTA